CTCCTCCCCGCGTCCCATCAATCCCGCTCTGTTTGTTTTAATATCCTCTTGCCAACTCGCTTGGAAACCCTCTTGAAAAAACAAAGATCACCAGGGCTGAGGCATGCCTTTTTAATTACATTAATTCTTTCTCTGTGGAAGCGTGTGATGTGTGTGTACATATACACAGACATGCACATATAATGATATATGCACTGTTGTAGCCCCCCGCCCCCACCACGCATGCATGCATGCATCAGGGTACATGTGATGCACATCACTGGTACATGCCTGGAAGAGCCAGAGCCGCTCAGTCTCCCGGCCTGGGATGGCTCCGGGGAACGTGTGATCTGGGGAGATGGGGCCCTGTTTTCTCAGGAGACGTCTCCCTCGCGCTCCGGGATTTGCCAGAGACACGAACCATCTGTTTGTCAGTCAGCTGACATTTCCTAGCAAAAGCCGGTGCCAAGATCAACTGTCAGGAGAGTCGGGTTGTGCTGCGCAGGCACGGGGTGAATTCCAGCGGAGGTGCGTTGCCTCGGGAAGTCGGCCGTGTCTGGGGGACAGCAGGGAAGCACGGGAGGCATTGGGGTGGGTTTGGTTAGGGAGCGAAGAGCAGCCAGCGAAAGGAGACGGGAGGTGTTTGACCGCAGCATGTCACCAGCGGTGCAGTCCGGGGGTCGGGGCCCACCGGAGGCTGGAAGGGGACTGCTCCTGCCTGTGAATTCACCCCAGGAGCTGTATCAAGAGGGACGGGGGCCAGTTGGGAACCTCCCACCGGCTGGGGCCAGACTGGCAGGAGGACGGCTCCATGCTGGCTGGTCAACAGCATGACCGGCCCCCACGCGGCGTGGGCAGCTCTGTACAAGCGTGCTTTGCTGCAGCGTTTGTTCCTTTTCCTGTTGTACTTGCGGCCGGGCGCAGACAGGATACATCTGCAGGAATCCCAGAGCCTCAACCTGCACAGCCCGTACTTTTTCGTCCTTCCCCGGCCACCCTGCCCCTGCCCCCGGCGTTGTTTTCTAGCAGGTCATAACACTGCACAGAAAGGGAGACAGGCCTTTATTTTTGTGGCTGCCCTAGGCCTTCACCTGGGTCTCTGCAAAGCCACCTGCAGGCATCCCAGCTGGGTGCGTCTCGCCTGGCACACCTTGCCCTCCCAAGGGGGAACCATGCTCCAGCAGCCCAGGCAAGGACCATCAGCTGGGCGATGACATTTCAGCCCTCACTGCCTCTTAATTCCTTCCCCACCACTTCTCTGTCCAGCTGGTGAGCTTATGGAGACCTTGGGATGTCTACGCGCAGCAGTTAGCACGGGGGGCATGGACTGCAAAGCATTGCTGTGATAGCAATGGTAGTATGCATCACCAGAAACACAAGGCGTGGAGGCCAGGGGAGTCCTGGCAGTTCACACAGACCTGATTGCCTCTGAAACTTAGGCTCTTGAAGACCAGCCCTGCCCCGTGGAGCACCCACACATGGGAGACATCCTAATCTTGTGTTGCCCAAGTCCTCTGCCTGTATTGCAGGTAGCGGCGTGTATCCCTCTGCTGCCTTCTATCACACAGCGTGATATTGAGGTTGCAACCATCCTGAGAGCTGCCCGGTAAGAGCAGGGAGTTGGGACCCTCAGATCAATGGACGAGAGCTATTGAGACCTGCAAATCAATCAGTCAGCGGCTAATTCGTTACTGTTCAGGCTTGCTTCATTTTCTAGCAGCTGAATATCCCAGCGCCCAAACCAGACTTGTGTTCTGCTCATCATCACTTGGAAACTACCGAGGAAAGAGGATGACTGCACTTGCCTTTCAGCGCTGAAGAATTGGTTTCACACTTTTCTAAAGTCACAGACAAATGGGTGAAGTGATCAAAAAATGCCGGATTTTGTAGGAAATTTAGAAAAAATTCCATTTCCCCCCTTAAATATCCCACAATTTGTTTTTCCTGATTAAAAAAGGAACCAGAAAACCAAAGCATATTTAATCTTGGAAAAAAAACATGTTTGGCAAAACCTAAGAACCATAAAACTGATTTTTTTTTTGCTGCATGTTTTCTATTACTGGTTTCCAGATTTTCTTTAAAATGTAGGAAAAATTAACCAAAATGATTTTTTTTGGGGGGGGGGGGGGGGGGCACTCCAAAGTGTTGTAATGCAAAAATTCCAGCTCTCAGAACATTTGGCAACCTCAGCCAAGTCTGGGTGGGCTTCACAAACCCACGGCGAAGTGTCAGTGCAAGCGGCAGGCTCTGCTGTGGGTGTCCAAGAGTGGATCAGTGAGGCGCGCTTTCAGTGGGTGCTGAGCAGGGTCGGCAGCGCTGTGCGGGCAGCCACGACTGGAAGAGCAGAGGGATTTGGGGTCTGGACTGAGCTGTGTTCTCCAAGTTGTGCTGGGATCTGTGTCAGGAATATCCAAAGGTGCCGACGGTCTGCACTGAACTGCCTCCCTGGGCTCTGATGGTCCCGTAGGGCAGGTATTTTGCCAGAGTCGTACGGGAGAAATGTTGGCTCTGGTCCTTCAGGCACACCTGCATGTTTAGACGAGTAGTCCATTGGCTAGGTGGGAAGACTTTCATGCATGGGCATTGCTTGCAGAACTGCACAAAGGACTCGCCTGCACGGTAGCTGGCTTAATCTAGAGCAGTTAGGCTGGCACTTGCACGTTCGCTGCACTCAGGTGGAAAATACTGAGAAGTTCACCCGGACCAGACAGAGAGGGAAACTTCCTAGAGAGTCCATGAGTGTGAACCACATTTGACCAGGGCTTTTTGGGCTCTGGGGGTCTATCTTGTAAGTGGGCCACAATGCAGTGAGCGCCTCCTATTCTGTGGCAGAGATTGTCCCTAGATGTAGACCCAAGGGTAGCACAAAGTTTGAGCGAGATAGACCTGGCCATTCTGGGAAGCAGCGTCTGGACAGCATCGCCCTGTGCAGCAATAATAGGAAACACAGATTCGAATCCAGCCCAGCCCTGTGGCAGAGGACCTGGATTTCGTTTGTTCCAATAACTGTTGTTCTATTTTTTTCAGGGATTTCACCAAAAATGCTTTAATTTATTTTCACAACCACGGGGCACATTTTTTTGTCTGACATCCAAAGCGTCTCTCCCTTTCTCTCTCTTAACAAACTGTTGTTCAAGTGATGGCCGTGGGGAGAGGGAGCGCTTCACCCCTTCTGTCCGCACCTCTTCTCGTCTCCCTCTTCTGCTTCCCTCCGTCTCTCTCCACGCTGCCCTTCTCTTTCAGCTACACCTTTTCTTATCCTCCTGTGCTCGGGGTGAGCTTGTGCCCATTTCCCACTGACCTCCGGGCTTGCCCAGGCACTGGCGGTCCATTGGCACGCTCTAGGGCAGGTAGGGGGGAGACACCAGTTTGCAAAGCCGTGCCGGCCTGCTTGCCTGTTCCCCTCTTTGCCTTTTTCTTATCTTTCCTTATCTATCCCTCACTCTTTCTCTTCCTTTTTTGTTCCTCTCCCAGATTTCTTTCGTCTGCAGAAGTATCTGTCAGGGGCTGGCGGCATGCTCAGCTCAGCACGGCATAAAAGGCAGACAGTCCCTGCCATGGAAAACCTAAGGTTGAAGCGGGGCAGAGCAGACGCTGAGAAGTCTGGGAGGGCGTGCAAGGCGGGGATCGGCGTGCTTAATTGCACCGGATTCCTGTTGTCGAATCTTTGTATACGGGCTCTTGGCAGAGGCGAGCCTGGCGGAGGGCTCTGCCTGGTAGCACAGTGACTGGGGGGCCAGGGTGGAAGCTGGAGGAGGCTTTCTGTGCATAAAGGGCATGCCGGACGAAGGGGCGGAGATGGACACGCGGCATTCGGCCGTGACGTCGCCCAGTGCCGCACCACCATCACGGCGAATCATCTCCTCCCCGAGCCAATCCGGGGAACGTCTGAGCCAGCCTCGGTCATCACGTAGCGCAGGAAGGGGAAGAGGGGGATTGACAGCCGGTGCGTCAGTCCGTGATAGACTAGCGCTGGGCCAGTTTCCATGGGCACAGCCAGTCATCTGACTGTGCTCAGAATGACTTCTGGGTGGGAAGGAAATGGAAAACAATTAAAATAAAAAAAGCCCCACAAGGCCGTCTGCGCAGAGCGGCGTTATTGGAGGTCCATTCACCGCAGTGGATGTTTCGCTGCGTGTCCCGTGGCCGGCCACGGGAGGCTGGCCCTGTCCACTCAGAGCTGGGATGCTTCTTACCTCCTTTTCCAGGTTGCGGCTCAGTCCCGCAGGGAGTCTGTCATTTCATCAGATGCTCTAATGTTCGGTTCTTTGCCAGACTATGGGCTGCTCAGCTCTGGGACGTTGCTGTCACACCCAGAAACAGAGTCACCAGCCCAGGAATCAAACCCAGTTGGCTTTCCATCAGCTAAGACCTTAACTTCATTGCTGTTCGTAAGAGTCAAAAACCAAGAGACTTTCAAAAGAAATGTTGAGCAGGATTTTAGCATCTGCTTGGTCATATTTTCAGGCTTTTCTTTGCAACCAGAAGGGCTAGAAACTTCCCTTTCTCAATTAGCACATTTCCAGGAGCTTGAGTTTGAAGATGGACACTTAAGATCATGAGACTGGCCAGGAAATAAGGAGAGGGTGACACCGGATTGGTGCAAGTCACTGGTTACTTATCTTGCTGTCTCAGTGGCACCTTGGGACGTTTGCCCCTAGTGCAGTCTGTTGACGATGCAGATGTGAAGAATAAATCAATGATCTTGTGTTAGTCTGCTTAAAAGCGGATGTGCCCGTGATTTTCTGCAAGGCTGCCCAAAGCCAGCTCCTGAGGTTTCGTGTGGTCCTGTAGCTCCTTCCTTCAGGACCAATCTGTCCCTGAGGCTGAGCTACCTTTGCTGGGGAGCTGATGCCTTCTAGAGAAGGGAGAGCCTGAGGATTTGTGCTTGTCCCAGTGACTTAGCAATAAATCAATCCAGGGCAGCAGGCCCTGTCTCTCCTGCCACAGGCTGGCTTTCGATGGCAGACCAAAGCACAGCAGAGCAACTGCATTTCTCTCTCTTTCCTTTTTCTCTGCAGATTTGGTGAGCAGCTATTCTATGAGCCCACCCACTCTTAGCATCACCGAGGAGGAGCACATCATAAACGCCAAGGACACACTGGCTGTTACCTGCAGGTAAGAGACCTGTGACAGTGGCTTTGCTCTGGGTGCCCATGCCGGCTCCTGGTGGTCTGCTCTTTGGACTCCAAGCCGTGGAACTTGACCTTCAGCACGCCCGGCAATGAGGACTTCCATGTGGCTTGTCATCTCATCCGTTCCCTCGCTGGCTCTGAAAGAAAGCATTGCCTTTACCCCCCTCCACTTCCTTGTGCATGTGACAGCCCTTCTCTATGTCTAGCATGGCCCTAGCATTGGTCCTGTGGTCCCTGCCAGTCTAATTCTGGCTTTGCACTGAGCAAAGCCTGCCAGCTATTTGGTGGTTCTGGGATGTGGAGACCCCACAGGCAGGAGGCTAAAGCTGTGTCTGTTGGTTGTGATGGAGGTGGTCCTTGGTATTTCCCATAAGTGGATATCTGACGCCTTGTGTTGTCCTCACACATGTGGGAGGGAACTGGTCTCTGGCTGGAAGCGCCTGTGCTGCTGAATCAGGGGATTCGCTCCAAGAGCATGAAGTAGCCCATGGCAGGATTGTGCAGGCAGGTTCCCGGTGAGGTGTGCACTATAATTTCAGCATTATACATGGCACTGAAGCATTTGTGCCGGTCCTGGTATAGGGCCATGCACTTGTCTTGTCCCAAGCTCACTTAGCCATATCCAGCTCATCCCTGATGAATGCTCCCTTCTTGCCTGCAAGTGTCCTGGGCTTGAGGAGCAGGTGGAAGGTGTTAAAGGACACCTTGTAGGCACAAGGCTCCAGCTCCAGCTCCAGTTCTCTTAGGAGTGTTAGGGCCACATTCTCCCCCAGATTCATTTGGACCTTGGTGGTAGAGGAAATAAATAGTTGCATTGGCCTCCATTTCATTCCCAAGGGGCTTTTAATCACATCCCAGAGATTTCAGTATCTGTGCAGATCCTTTCTCAGCAAAGCAGTGAATGGGCTTGGGAGCAGTGGGAGTGCTGGGAGAGACTTGCACTGTGCTGCTGGTGCCAGTGATGGGCCGCCAGTGGGCATGAGGAGGCCTCCTGCATTGGCAGAGCAGCCTGGACCAACAGACTGCAAGCCCAAGGTGCATGTCCCAGGTGAGTGCAGTGTGCATGGCTGACCTGGGCAGCACTGGCTGTCGACAGTGGGGTACATGCCAGATGCTCTTCCCTGCATGAGCTGCACCAGCTGTGCCAGCCCCTGCTGCGCTGTTTTGCACTCTGAAAGGATGCTGGCTGGCACCTCCAGTTGCATCTTGGCTTGTAGGCAGTGCTAGGGGTCCTGACACCCTTTAACCCCCACATGCAGCAAGAGAAGAGCTCTCCTCTCTTCATCTACATCTGAATAGCTGCCCATGCCAGGTCTGGGAGGTGTTCTGTACGTGGCATGAAAGGCAGGTATTCCTACATGGAAGCAGGGCAGGGAAAGGCCAGACCCGCGCAGTGCCTGTGGGTCATTATTGGGCACAGAGGACAAATGAGGGTTAGAGACAGGTGGGCACATACAAACAGTCCCTCGCAGTGAGCACCCCAAGCCTTGCTCCGTGCATATTCCTGCCTGTTCACTGTGGAGCGCAAAGCCTTTCTCTTAAGCTCCCCACACAGGGACAGGAAATAGCCGTTATGCTAACATTGCATCCTTAGCTATACGCTCTGGATGCATCCGTGTACACGGAAGAAAGCCATGCAGAGCAGAAAAGGGTCTTCTTTCCAGACCAAGCACAATGAGCAAAAGCCTCTCTTAGTATCCTGCAAACACCAGAGGTGCCCATTCGTGCGAGCCATGTCCTGTCAAGGCAAACCAGGAGCAGCTCTGGCCTACGCTTCCAGGCTTTCAGTGGGATACAGGCCCAGCCAAAGGTCACCAGGGTCCCTGCAAATAGAGCAGGGTGGGGGTTGTCCCTGTGCCTTAGAATCATAGAAAACGAGGGTTGGAGGGATCTCAGGAGGTCGCATCTAGTCCAGCCCCCTGCTCCAAGCAGGACCAGTCCCAACTACATCATCCCAGCCAAGGCTTTGTCTACCCGGGTCTTAAAAACCTCCAAGGAGGGAGAGTCTGCCACCTCTCTGGGTAACCTGTTCCGGTGTTTTACTGCCCTCCTAATGGGAAAATTTTTCCTCATAACTAACTTAAACCTCCCTTGCTGCAACTTGAGACCGCTGCTCCTTGTTCTGTCATCTGCCACCACTGAGATCAGCCCAGATCTATCCTCTTTCGAACCCTCTGCAGGGAGCTGAAGGCTGCTATTCAATCCCCTCTGTCTCCTTTTCTCTAGACTAAATAAGCCCAGTTCCCTCAGCCTTTCCTTGCCAGTCATGTGCCCCAACCCCTCAACCATTTTCGTTGTCCTCCGCTGGACTCTCTCCAACATATCTACAGGCTTTCTGTAGTGGGAGGCCCAAAACTGGCCACAGGACTCCAGATGTGGCCTCCCCAGTGCTGAATAGAGGGGAAGAATCACTGCCCTCGATCTGCTGGCACCGCTCCTACCAATGCAGCCCAGGATGCCGTCAGCCTTCTTGGCAACAAGGGCACACTGCTGGCTCCTATTCAGCTTCTTGTCCCCTGTCCCCCCAGGTCCTTTTCTGCAGAGCTGCTGCCCGGCCAGTCACCCCCAGCCTGCACCAGTGCATGGGATTGCTCCCTCCTAAGTGCAGGACTTTGCACGTGTCCTAATCCAACCTCAGGAGATTTATTTTGGTCCAGTCCTCCAATTTGTCTAGGTCACTCTGAATCCCAGCCCTACCCTCCAGTGTATCTACTACTCCCCCCAGTTCGGTGTCGTCTGCAGACTTGCTGAGGGTGCGCTCTGCCATCTTCCAGGTCGTTCATGAAGACATTGAACAAAACCGGCCCCAGGACCGACCCCTGGGGCACTCCACTTGATCCCAGCTGCCAACTAGACATCAAGCCATTGATTACTACGCTCTAAGCCTGATGCTCCAACCAGTTTTCTGTCCACTTTACAGTCCATTCATCTAGCTTGTACTTCCTTATCTTGCCTGCAAGAATGGTGTGGGAGACCATATCAAAAGCCCTGCTAAAATCAAGGCCCACCACATCCACTGGTCTCCCCGCATCCCCGGAGCAGTCACCTTGTCGTAGAAGGCAGTCAGGTTGGTCAGGTATGCCTTGTCCCTGGTGAATCCATGCGGACTGTTCCTGGTCACCCTTTTCTCCTCCAAGCGCTCAGAAATGGATTTCTTGAGGATCTGCTCCAGGATTCCCAGGGACTGAGTTGAGGCTGACTGGTCTGTAGTTCCCTGGGTCCTCCTTTTTCCCTTTCTTAAATATGAGCACTATGTTTGCCCTTTTCCAGTCATCCGGGACCTCTCCTGATTGCCATGAGTTTTCAAAGATGATGGCCAGTGGCTCTGCAGTTTCATCAGCCAATTCCCTCAGCACCCTCGGGTGCATCCCATCCAGCCCCATGGACTTGTACATGTCCAGCTTTTCTAAATAGTCCCTAACCTATTCTTTCACCGCTGGTGGCTGCTCCCCTCCTCCCCAAACCGTGCTGCCCGGTGCAGTAGTCTGGGAGCTGCCCTTGCCTGTGAAGACTGCGACAAAGAAGGCATATAAAGGACAGGTTTGTGAAGGCTATGTTCCCATTAAGCTGTGTTCCCCGTTGGGGTCCTTCTGGTGGCCGAGGGGTGATCGGCTTGTGGAAGTCCTGGGGGCTGTGGCCTTGCACCGATCCTCCACAGCTGCACAGGTCCCACTGAAGTCCCAGCCCTTTGCCAACGACAGGATTCAGATGCTCCCTCCTCCTTCCTGGCCTCTCGCACCCGTGTTTCTCTAGCATCTTGAGGAGATCATTTTGCTGAGAAGGCAGCTACAGAGTCATCCTCCCCTCCACCGCCCCCAGCCACTCCATCACTTGAATTTGCTTTTCATTCTTACGGGTTCATGCATTTTTAATTAGGCCCAGCTGTCTCCAAGTCTCCCCCCTAGAGCACAGACCACCCTGACAGGACACGGCTCGCGTTAATGGGCGAGGAAGGGTTATGGCAGCAAAATACACAAGCATCCAGGCCGACAAGGGAAGGGTGCCAGGGTGGGGCAGGGATGATTTATGTCTGACGGCTCCTTCTGGGAGTCAAGCTGCACGTGGTCTTTGCTTGTCCTCGTCACCCCACAAACCATGCTCTCTGGCTGCTGTTGGCATCTGCCTCCCGCCCCGTTAGTCCAAGCCTGTTAAACAACATTTAGGTGGAGAGCTGGGCTCCCTCTGCAAACCTGCTGGCTTTTGTTCCCTTGCACAGACCAGGCTGGGCCCCATGTAAAAATCCTCCCTCTCCTTTCCAGAATTACAGATCAGCCCTGGGCGCTTGGGCTGACCGTGAGCAGACCAAAGTGGCTGAGTCAAAGCATATAACAGCCAAGGGCCAAGAGGGTGATGTCCGTGCACACAGTGCATCTTTTATTAGTTTGAGTCCTAAGAAGGAAGGAAGGAATATCGGGATGAATCTCTGTATTCATGCCCTCGGCAGCCCATGCCAGAGGGGAAGCGGAGACTTTGTGCCTTTCCGTCTCATGAATATTGGCGCGGAGCCCACCAGAGCTGCTTGCACAGCAACAGGGAGCCCCGGAGGAAAGAAATGCACCAGGCGCCGCGGTCGCCCCACCGCTCGCCTGCCTAACGCATCCCCGTTTAGGTGTCATGCGCTCAGGTGCACCGGGTCAGCGTGTCTGGCCTTGACGCTCAGGAAAGGGAAGAGAGCACTGCGGTTTACCGCAGAGCTGCTTGAGGGCTGCCTGCATATTCCACTGGCAGAAAGGAAGTTTGTCCCTGGCCCCCTCCCAGCTCAGGGTGACGAGGAAGCAAACAGCTATTGTGGAGCTGAAGGAACAGAAGGGCACAGCCATGCCCCCGTGGCAGCTCGCAGGGAGCACAGGGAAGAGACAGCAGTGCACTCTTGTGTGGCAGACGCAGCAAACCCCTGCTCGGCACCTCTAAGTCCCCCCCAAGTTAGACGGTCTCCTTCCATGAGATCAGCTCACAAGCCCACTGAAGCCTTTGCCCCGTCTG